GCCCCAAACAGACCCTTAGTTGGTCTTGTTGGAATAGTTTGTTTTTTTTTTAATCTAGAAATTTTCTACAATTATTTGTTGTTATAATATTTTCATTGACAGATAATCAAATCTCTTTTGAGTAACCATTTTGCCGTATTTAATATACTTAAAACAGTAAGTAATCTAGCATATCCATCAAGTGCTTTAACTGACTCAAATCAACTCAAATTGATGCAAACTGACATTCTTATCTTTGATTTAACTCAAGTTAATTCTATTGCATAATTTTTTTTATTTTATATTAGTTTATTTCAGTGTAAAATTCTTACGATGATGATCACGATAAATAATAAGCACTTTATATATTGTCTGTCCAGATTTTATTGGATTCATTGGTCCGACTGATTTTCTGGTTCAATTAGTTTGTCCTAGTGATTGGAACAATGTGGTTGTTTGGGTTTACAATTTGTTCAGTTACTGGTTCTGTATTCAATGTTATTTGACTCTTCATTTGGACTCTGAAATTTGAACTGAATTCATTATTGTTTTGGTCCATAATCAAATCTTGACTTGATTTGGGACGTGAATTTATAGTTGTGCTGATTCAAGCCTCTTATGTACTGGTGATTGTATTAGCAGCATTTTGCAAAGGTTTATATTTCCACTACTATACAAAAACATTGGCTAATTCAATTCCTACCTAATACGGAGATTTCTTCTTTAAACAATAGGTCTTCTAGATCGTTGGTATCTTACATGTGTATCTTCTGCGTGCAACTGCTTTGACAAAATTTGGGAGTTAATTGTGGGTTATTTCATGAGATCCTGAGCTATATTTGTGATTTATGCTATATAAAATCAGAGCATGTGGGCTTTTGTCTAGATTTAGATTAATGACTGGTGCCTTTATGATTTAAATAATATTTTCGTGATCATAAATATGGCAAGATAATGCAACAGTGCAACACCAACGCAAAAACCGATAACAATAACACAAACTAAGACACTGCATCAAAATTTGAGCTATTCATCATAAACAACTCTCCTGGCAAGCCTATTGTTGAACTAAAAAATGTTTAGGAATCACAACTAATGAAAAGAGCACGTAAAATAAGCGATTGAGGAGAGAGTGAACAGTAAGAATGAGTGTCTAGAGTCTTTTCCCATGAAATGGTCTCTTATTTATAGGTAAAAGATGCACCTTGGTTACATAATTACATTTAGGCCCTAACTATGCAAAGAAATGTAGGGGCATCGCGGTCATTTACACAGTACATTTGATTAGGCTAATAAATAATCGCTAACTGAAGGCGGCATGCTTGTTACTTGTCAGCCTGCACTTGTCCGCTCGGTAACCACGGGCCGAATCACATGAAGATGGCATAAAAGCTCTTAGGCAAAGTATTCCCATAGCTTCTTCTCAGACTCTGGTTCGTTCGCCCAATTTTTTGAACGATAAGACATCCTTCGTTTGGCTTTCCCTTCAAGAGTCTCCCTTTCGACCTCCATGTTAGTCGGCCTGCTGATTAGGCGAACGACTTGTCAGAGGTTTGTGACGATCTCCTGACTTTGGCATTAATTTTCTTGATTGTCCAACTTAGTTCAGGGACTGGTTCTACCACATCTTGATCGGGGACCCACTTCATTTGTCGTATTCCTCAGCTTTCCACCAAAGATCCGTGCCACCACAATCTAGTCGGATAACCCCTCTCCTCTTCAAAAGTGATATGAAAATTGGTATAATTAAGCTTGAAATCAAATAATTTGGTGTTAGGATCAACTAAATCAAACAAGAAATGAGGGATATTAAATGTGCATGATCCCAAGACCACTACAGTTTCTTATTTATCGAAGCATTTTTATTATATTTTTTTAGTTATTTTCATACTTTTAGCTTTATGATTTGTCATCGATTCTTGTAGTGTTTTATTGGTTATTGGTTTCAAAGGCATTTCAAGAGTGCGTTTGTTCTTCTTTTCGGCCGGATTTTTGAACCACATCCGATCCTCGCGCATTTGAATCGTGTATTCGGTGGATCACATTCAGAACTATAGCGCAAATTTTCCTATTATCGCGGCAACGATAATTGGCCCGCATTTCAAGTTCCACATTCGCAGTATGCTTTCAGACACAACGTGCTCGTGCCCGTGCTCATATGGGCGCACCCGCGCAGGTTACTGCAGCACCCCCGCACTGGGTTAAAGGCACCCTTAAGCTATTTTTTAGGGCACCCATGCACCCTTGTCTAGAGGGATTGCCTCCCCACGCCCAGAACTGACGCAACAGCGTCGGGTGCTTTTCCTCTCTGGTGGTTCGCATTTTATTTTTTGTTTAGATTTAGAATTGAGAAATCTATCTTATTACAATAAAGTTTGGATGATATTTTTTTCTTAGATCTACATGGAAAATGGTTTGATCATTTGCATGGGATGGGCGAGATGATATATTTCTCTTTCTCATTATCCATTGCAACTCTTGATTCTATAATTTAACTTAGAATTTATTTTTATATTTTTGTTTGTTTAATATAATACAATTAAATATGAGTAGAGAGGCATTTCAGACATTTATTCACAGACAACACTTTCAAAATTAAAATTTTTAAACAGAACAACTGCTTCTGTAAAAAAATATCTTAAACATCAGATTTTCCACAACAACTTTTGCAATGAAATTTCATACAGCCAAAACTAAAACATATGCACTCTAAATAAGCCTTAGACAGCTAAAGCTTGAAAAGGTCAATAAATATACCTTACTTTGTAATCTTTTAATTCAATGAATAAAATCATCTTTTGTTTGCACAAATTTTGTGTGAAAAAAGCTTAATGCTTGCTCTACTCTTCAATTGATCCCCAAAGGTTTTGGTGAGTCCTTATTTATCCCCTCAACCTCCAAATTCTCTCCTCAACAATACACTCTCTTACAAACTAAGCTCCGTCAACATGTAAACCCTAGCCTCCCTAAATCCCAAGACCCCACCAACAACTACATTATGCTTCTAAATATTTTCCCACAACCCCTACAACTTCCCAAGGGCATTACTTATCCTAGCTAACCAGATATAGAGAGAGCATTTCCTGCTTTGAGCAATAAGATTAAGAAATTCAAAACTCCTTAACTATTGATACAAAATGCATGAAAATACTTTCATTAGTTTCATAACACCATAGACCTTTCGTTTGAAGTTCTTCACCATTCCACCTCAAATTTGCCCAAGACCCTAAATTTTCTTTACCCCCTACTCACATGAGTCTTCCACCACCACCCCAAGGGCAAAACAATCAAGTTGATGTCTTCGCCATCAAGATCCTATAGACCCTACAATAAAAGACTTGATAAATGTAATAATAGTTTGCAATGATAGCTTATTTTTCTATTTTTATTTCCTGATTATGCTTTAATTAATAGTTGGATGTGGATCTTTCTAGTGTAGTGCAAATGGAGATTACCAATTTTTAGGGGAAGCTATTTCCTTGCAGTAATTATTATTCTCTCTTTTAAAAATTTAGTGATTAGTTGCTAGTAGGATTGAATTTGGTTAAATCTTACATCAACTGGATTTTTCTAATTGTAGTGTATTTGTTATTGGTATGTGTTTTTTTTTTTTTTTTTTTTTTTTTTTTGTGATGATGTATTGCATAATAAAATTTATATTATTTGATCATTGAGTTATCGTTTGGCGTGATATTTATATGTTTTCAAGTTTTCATCAAAAGAGGCAATAATGAGTTTTATATGATGGTTTGCCAAATTTATTTCATGTGTGTGAATTTTATTCATTGCATTATATAATTTCAATGCATTATATAATTGCATTACAAAATCCTAGACCCTAATACCTTGTGCATCACAAAACCAATTAGAATTAACACAATCTACCTAACCCAGATCTTGGCATAATCTAGTTTAATCATGGGCCTGAATGAAAAAAAAAACCCAATAAATTTTACAAAGGGCATCATATCACCATGTATGTAAGCCTCAAACCTTTCTAAGAAACTTATCCAGAGCTTATGACAGTGTTCCGGAGTGTTGATCACAAGGTCCTTCAATGAATATTACTGTTGAAAACACTATTCTTCCACTTTGTCTCTATTTCCTCGTGTGGGTTTCGTAATCATCAACACTATTATTGGTTTTGTTTCACATTTGTCTATCTTCTTTATGATGGAATTCCCAGAAGATTGTGCCAACTAGGCAAAATATAGTCAAGAGATCCAATTTTTTTGCAATGACATTTCAACTATCCTTAGTTAATTTTTTTCAGTCCACCGGAAGTGGAGTGTGGAACATTTACGCTCAGTTATGAATCTCGAGTCTAAGTTTCTCATAGTTCAGCTAGCAACAGTACATTACTTAATGTGTCATCTTTAAAAGATTATCCTTGACTTTGTCATGGACAAAAAGTTCATTGTCTTGCAGATATGCTGTTCATTTTATTTGTTCGATTAAAATTAAAATGACCATAATTATAGCAATTACTATAAACTACCGGCCTTCAGTTTAATTGAGTATGATTGATTGATTAATTAAGAAATAGTATTTGCACTAATAATATTGTGGTCGATTCTACTTCCTACTTCTATATAAGGGTTGTCCATGCTTTCTTTTTTCTGCCATCTGCCTCCTTTTCTTTGAGGTATTCAATCTTCTAATCTTCTTAATCACCTTCTTCCATTTTACCTTCCTTTTTTTTCTTACAATGCAATCTTCTCTTCCCAATAAGGAAACAAAAACCACAAAATCTCCATTTCCCCGCAATTTGCATGATGACTTCCATCTTCTCTTCCCAAAGGCAACGCTGCTATAAACAAGCTGATGTTCCCTAAATAGATACTAAATAAGCAAGAAAAAAATTATGTGCTAGAAAGATATCGAAAATGTTGCAAATGAGCTAAAAAAATGAGCATAGAAAAAGAAGAAAAAATTATAAATTCACATATTGATTTTGCCAGGTTCGTTGAAATGCACTTTAACGATTTAAGGAGCTCTAAGGTTGTTTATGAAGAACTTACCAGATTTGATAGTTCTTAGAATTCCTGGAAGCGACACAATTGGTATATTCCATTTCATCATTCAAATCAGCATTAATTGCTTCAAGAACAAGCCGTCTGAAGTACCAGACCTAACAATTTAAAAAGAAGAGAATCATGCAGTAATACTGTGTAAATGAAAAAAGTTTCAAACTGCATGAAATAACACAAAAGAGGAATCCAATATATGCCACAATGTGCTATTTAAGTTGTGTTCCTAAATATGTAGAACTTTTAGAGCAAAATTTAAGAAACAAGACAATAGTTTACAGGCAAGTGAACAGCATGGTAACACACTGTAAAAAGACTGCATGTATCATTATCACAAGTTAAAGCTGTGTTCTTAATTAGTGACTCAGTTATGATAGGTCACAGCAACAAAGAAATAACATCCATTTTGATTTACATCAAAGATTTTAAGTTTATCTTCAATCTATATCTGATGCATCAATTCCTTGCTCTCTGTCCCCACACAAAATACTTCAGAAGTGTTTAGATGCAAGAAATTTGAGTGAAAGCATTTACGGATTAATAAATGTACTAAGAGGTTTAGTTGAGTCAGTTTGTTACGGAGGGTATTAAGTATGCTTAGTAGGTAAACTGGGTGTTCTTAAGAGTTTTGTTATGTCATAAATACTTTTCATGAGAGAATTGCATCAAAGAATGAAATAATATTTCTAACATGTTGCAAAGGTGTCCCATAAAATACCCAAGAACATCAAACACTAAAATCAAAGCAACCACTAATGAATGGACCAACTTGACAAGACTGACTGAAAGGATAGAAAAATTTGGGAAATTATACGCAATATTAATCGGCAATTGATTAGGTTGGAAGTCAAAATCGAGCTAGACTTGACTCCCAAACCCCATCTTGTCTAAAAAAGGTTCCAAAAGCCCACCACATTACGCACAATCAAGCCACGGCACATGGTTTTTTGTTTGACAGAAAAAGGCAGGTGCCCTTTGCTGCCACTGAATCCTTAGCAAATGATAAGCACTTGCTCAAGCTCCTTATTTGATTCATCTGGTCATGAACACATCATCTCCTACTCAAGAACATGTTCGACCTCCTTGCTTCATGCAACTAGCGATCCAAGTATTGGTTGAAGCTCATTTTCTACTGCTTGAAATTTCTAAAGACACTCCTAGCATGCTCAAGCTAAATCCACTCATTCCAGCATAATTGCATAAACCAATGAAATAGGTGAGGGACTAATTGTCACGACACGGTCTGTGGTTTGGATTTAATCAATGCGGGAATCAGACACTGATAATCATGTTCTTCTATTTTCATTTTTCATAACTAACGGTTTACAATACAAATGAAATGAAAAAAAAAATCACTAAAATAGTCAATTAAAGTAATACGGGCAAGTTTACCTCATATGTGGTTGTCCGTATTTCTATAAACATTTATATTATTCATCTTTTAATCAGAAGGTCACCCTGAAATATTAATTTAAAGTAATAATGAGCTACAAAAGTCAGTGGGTATCTCTACTTCTAAACTACAGTAATATAACGAAAAGATAACAATATATAAGCTAGTCACAAATACAATAAATCAATATAAATATATTAGACAATTTATTTTTTTAGATATAATCGTTCATGATAATTCATAACATGCTATGCATTTTATAACATCAGCAAAAGGTCTATCCTTTTACATATATACAACTATCACAGGAACACCGTCTAAAATTGTATCAATGAAGACACATCAATATCAATATCATTTTTTAATTACGTGCACAGGTGTCTTAGTATTCCTCTGCTAGTACCATAAAAAAGTAAACTTCATCATAATCAGTATGCATATACAATCGCCCTCTATAATTCATAGTATTCACATTTCATATTATTTAATATGTAATGCTTAATAAATAATACATAAAATATTTCAAATTATGATACTATTAGCATTCATATCAATATAATTGATAAAATTGAATAATAGAGAAATCAAGATAAATTCTTAAAAGTGCATTAATAAAGTGTCAATAACAATTCATACAGCTGATTTAGATGGAACAAAATGCTACCATAACTTAAAGAATAGGAGTATTCACCTTATTCAATAGTAGCCCTCAACCTTCAAACGGTTTTAAACTTCGTCTCCAATGGTTATATGCTATAATATCATTTAAAAAAAAAATTAAATCATATGATTTAATTATGCTTAATAAATCTTTCAATTAATTAAGTTATTTTAGTTTTTTGGTATGAATACTTCATTTTAAGTACTAATATCACATTAATTAAATTATCACCTGATGATTATATATATTTAAACATAAAATTTCTTTTGTTATATCATTATTTTTTTTCTTATTATATATTAAATTTATTTTAAAGTCTAGTATTTCATAAATTAACATTTAAGTCAATTTTTGTTTCGCATTAATAAAAATAATAAAATACATAATTAATTCATTAGGTAAAAATTACTTAAAACTCACCTTAACAAAGTCTTACGGTTTAACCTCCAACTCCTCCCTACGCTCAAGTTTGGTTTCCTTCTACCTGCCTCTCATTACAACGCCCTGAGCTGCAAGATTCTAGCCCGGGACAGCCTCACATGCTCGACGAAGCCCTTCATTGCCTCCTACATGAAATTTTGGTGCATCGATTGCTCAATAAATTCCTCTTCCTCCCTTCTTTGCCTTGCAATTGCGTACGAGATCGAAGTCACGTCTCGTCTTTGACTTTCCCATGTCTTCGCCCTCTTCCAAGTCAACGATAACTCTTCCTTTAGCTTCAATCGCAAGCTTTGTCACCCTCGTCGAGCACTAACACCTCACCTTCTTTGTTCGACGACCATGAACGCCATCGTTGATCGACTCCATTGCCTTATACTCATCCCACAAAGGTGAGTATTCCTCTTATTATTATTCTTCTTCTTCTTTTTGCCTCTCTCTCTCTCTCTCTGCCTCTCGGTCATGCAGGAAATCAATCGCTCAATGCTTGTGGTGATCAAACAAGTTCGTCTGACCCTTCTCGCTCTGTGCCTACTTACTTCATCTTCCTCCCTTTGCCTTTATTTAAATTATGCATTGAATCCTTCGCTTCATTTCTGATTCCAGTATCCAAACGCTTTCTTCATTTTACAAACCATTGGAAGCAGAGCGTTACAATCTTTCTCGCTTACAACTCGATGATGACACTTCACTCAGCTTCAATCGCAAGTTTTGTCACTCTGGTCGAACCCTAACGCCTCGTATCCTCTATTCGACAATTAAAGTCGTCGTCGTTGGTTTACATCATCTCCTTTAGCTTGTCTCACAAAGGCGAGTATTCCTCCTTTTCCTTATTCTTCTTCTTTTTTCTATTTTCTTGGACTCTCCCCCTCTCTCTATGTGCCTCTCAGTCATGCGGGAAATCACTCGCTCGATGCCTGTGGTGCTCAAATGAGTTTGTTGACCCTTCTCACTCTTTGTCTGCTTCCTTCATCTTTCTCCCTTCATCTCTATTAAAATCGTGTGTCGACTCCTTTGCTTCGTTTCTGATTATAGTATACCAAACACTTTGTTCATTTTACGAATCAATGGAAACCGAGCGTTACACTGATTGTCCCCTCCATTGCAATCAAACAATCATCCAAAACAAGTGTGACTCGACAGCCACCTCTTATAGATTCATCAATGTTTGCTACTAAATTTCATTATTTGAAAATTTTGCTTAAATTTCTTTGAGTTTCTTATGTGGATTTACCAAATTTCATTAAGTGCTCGTCCATAAGAGCAAGGTCAGTTTTGAAAAAGACTATAATGATAGGAATTATATAGGCTAATAAATGTAATTAAGTAACAGAATTGGGTTGTTTATAGTAAGCAACTAGCATGCTTAATAGGTAGAAAATGTGTTTAAAGAGTTATGTTATAAATACTCATCTTGTGGGAGTTGTATGACCAAAATACAACAAACTAGGTTGGACTAATTTAGGACAGCCCAACTAGGGGGCTCGCTACAAATCATCATGAACTCTCCTTAACTAGCATGAGCTAGATCAGATCAGTATGAATCCACCAAAATCCACATGGATTCGCCATGTACAAGGGCATAACACGATACCAAGGGAACTCATTTAGGCTACAATGAACCCACCGAAGTTCCCAATGACCCGCCCAAAAGAAAGGATTGCTCACCTAGTTTAAGAAGGCACACACCGATGAAATAAAATTATTTAGATCAAAAATACTCACCTCAAGTCAGAAAATATTCGTCCAAATATGAAGGCCACTCACCCTAACCATGAGGGAAGCCATTCACAAGGGCTATTCACTCCCTCCATCCTGCTAGGCGAGCTCACCAAACCAATCAATGACGTTGCCTCTTGCCCAAAAAAGCTTGCCTACATTGACTCTCCAAAGTCTTGCTACCTGTGATGACATATTTGTAACGATGCAATCAAGTGCTCGTTGTTTTATTATGAAGAATTCTAAGAAAATTTTATTCCACACAAATAATGAATTACACCCTAATATATGTAAGAAAGTGATCAGTATATCAATCCATAAAAATAGGAAATCAGGATCCCTCTGAATTAAAAATCTCATCATGATAAGAAAACAGAAAAATAGGCAATATCTAATAAAGGAAAAAACCAAATACTAAAATATATTCTGAGAAAAATAAATAAATTACTTCCTAATCAAGCACACGGGTCGGCTACTTTCTACACTCCCTCTCAAGCTCGGTTGTATGTATTATACAAACCAAGATTGGGGTTAAATTTATCATGGATGATCCTCGATATTGCTTTACTGAGAAAATCAACAATCTTAACTCTTGCTATAACATAACTTAAGTTGAATAATTTTATTGTTAATATTTTCTAAAATGAAATATCGGTAAATCTCGATGTGTTTTATTATGTTATTGTGTACAAAAATTTTCACCAAACTAATAGTTGCTTGACTGTCAATGAACATCTTAATTGTGTCATTTGTCTCAATCCTAAGTTCATTTAATAGCCTTGAAGTCATTTTTCTCACATATTCTTAGTGCAAAAGCATGATATTTAGATTGTACACTACTCTGAAAGACAACAATTTGTTTTTAGCTTCTTCAAATGACGAGGTTGTCC